TTTAATTTTTGTAACTGTACACTGGATAAAGGTTCGGCAACACGGACGTAATCACCAGAATTTGTATTCACATTATACGTGACATTTGGATAAATCTAATAAAAATGAATTACAATGAATTAAATAATAATATTTTAAATCGTGTTAGGGATAATATATGTATGTAATCAAAAATAACATAATCGATTTTGGAAGGTTAAAAAACTATAATATAGTCTACGCCTTGTAATACCTATCCGTTTTTGACCAATCAATATTATGTAAATTTAAATAACTAATTAGATTAAATAATATTTAATTTTATATAAATTCATTTAAATTTTAAGCCAATCAGCATTTATTTTTATTTTTCACCACAATATTCAATACTATATTATTATCTCTTTCAAATCTACGTTTCAAATAATAAAACTACCTACCTATATACATTTCCAAAATTTCCTTTTTCTTTACTTTGAATATGCTATACCTAAACTGTAGCTCAAATATAAAATTAAATTATTTTGTATGATTACCATATACTTTTATTAGTATTTAGTACTTCGTTCTGTATTTATTGAGCTGTAATGGTTTTATATACAAAAGCTGAATATAAAACTTTAAACATAGATATATCGTTGAAAATGTTTTTTGCGCTAAGTTTTATTTTTGATTAAATTGTTATAAGAGTTTTCATAAATGTGTATACGATATACCTATACATAATTGTTGATATAGGTAGTTAATTCAATTAAGTTAAGTTAGTAAAAAAAAAAATGTAGAACAGTTTTACTAATAAAATATATCATATTATTCTATATTTTGTAGGTTAAATATGTTTAGTTCATTATACTTAAAGCTTTGTTATATAAAAAAATGTTCTACCTACGCAACACGTGCAATAATGTCTCGTTAGCGAAATTAAACTTTTGTTTATCATTAGTTATCAATTTGATAAAGCGTCAGATTTCTGAGAAACTCGTTCGTGAATCGTGACCGCATCGTGTAAAATATGTGTGCGAAACTACACCCCTTTATGCGACCTATTAAAGATTGCTTACTATTTAGCTTTCAAATGTAATTGAAATGGCTCTCATTTTTCATACCGAAACTTAATGAATAAATAACTTTTCAACCTATGCATTATTTTTAAATGACCACGAGTAGTTAGTGGTCTTTTTTTTCGTTGACTCACATTTAATACTTTTACGCCACCCACCCTAAACATTTGTTCACCTTTTCACTACTCTCCTAATAGTGCATTCATAGGTTATTAGTGACGGTTAAATAATCGTTAAGTAACCTAAACAAATTGTTTAAACTATTTTTTCCAACCCTAGCACCCAATTTTTCTTAAACCCATTAATATTTTCGTAAATCCCGTGACTCAAATATAGGTACCTCCTTTGAGCCACCACTGCGAGTATAAGTAGGTACCTATCTAATATATTATATATATGTAGTTTTTAGGGATGTAATCAAAAAAAGGATAGATACTAATAAGATACCTATGGCATATCTGAGGTTAAGTATTTTTACAAAACCACATTAAAATGTATAACTTAAGTATTTCATATAATTATAAATTTATGAATAATATAGAGCAACCTATTATGTTAGGTACTACATGTGTTTCTTCTAATAATTCAATATTTAGTTATACCTATATTGGCTAGCTATAC